CTTGTACCCAATATTCCGGACAAATTGGTTTTGCGGGTTTATAATGGCAGGAGAAAAACACACAGATTTTTGCTCTATATGACAGATGTACATTTGATCAGGGATGATCTAAAGACTGTTGCTCCTATTGTGTTGGTGTCACACCCACGTTACAGAGGTGAGGTGAGTAGTGTGGTCATGACAGGTGAGGTGAGTAGTGTGGTCATGACAGGTGAGGTGAGTAGTGTGGTCATGACAGGTGAGGTGAGTAGTGTGGTCATGACAGGTGAGGTGAGTAGTGTGGTCATGACAGGTGAGGTGAGTAGTGTGGTCATGACAGGTGAGGTGAGTAGTGTGGTCATGACAGGTGAGGTGAGTAGTGTGGTCATGACAGGTGAGGTGAGTAGTGTGGTCATGACAGGTGAGGTGAGTAGTGTGGTCATGACAGGTGAGGTGAGTAGTGTGGTCATGACAGGTGAGGTGAGTAGTGTGGTCATGACAGGTGAGGTGAGTAGTGTGGTCATGACAGGTGAGGTGAGTAGTGTGGTCATGACAGGTGAGGTAGAGGTGAGTGAGTGTGTATGGTCATCACAGGTGAGGTGAGTAGTGTGGTCATGACAGGTGAGGTGAGTAGTGTAGTCATGACAGGTGAGGTAAGTAGTGTAGTCATGACAGGTGAGGTGAGTAGTATGGTCATGACAGGTGAGGTGAGTAGTATGGTCATCACAGGTGAGGTGAGTAGTGTGGTCATCACAGGTGAGGTGAGTAGTGTGGTCATGACAGGTGAGGTGGTCATGACAGGTGAGGTCATGAGGTGAGTAGTGTGGTCACAGGTGAGGTGAGTAGTGGTCATGACAGGTGAGGTGAGTAGTGTGGTCATGACAGGTGAGGTGAGTAGTGGTCATGACAGGTGAGGTGAGTAGTGTGGTCATGACAGGTGAGGTGAGTAGTGTGGTCATGACAGGTGATGTGTGAGTAGTGTGGTCATGACAGGTGAGGTGAGTAGTGTGGTCATGACAGGTGATGTGAGTAGTGTGGTCATGACAGGTGAGGTGAGTAGTAGTGTGTCATGACAGGTGAGTGAGTGAGTAGTGGGTCATGACAGGTGAGGTGAGTAGTGTGGTCATGACAGGTGAGGTGAGTAGTGTGGTCATGACAGGTGAGGTGAGTAGTGTGGTCATGACAGGTGAGGTGAGTAGTATGGTCATGACAGGTGAGGTGAGTAGTGTGGTCATGACAGGTGAGGTGAGTAGTGTGGTCATGACAGGTGAGGTGAGTAGTGTGGTCATGACAGGTGATGTGAGTAGTGTGGTCATGACAGGTGATGTGAGTAGTGTGGTCATGACAGGTGAGTGAGTAGTGTGGTCATGACAGGTGATGTGAGTAGTGTGGTCATGACAGGTGAGGTGAGGTGAGTAGTGTAATCATGACAGGTGAGGTGAGTAGTGTGGTCATGACAGGTGAGGTGAGTAGTGTGGTCATGACAGGTGAGGTGAATAGTGTGGTCATGACAGGTGAGGTGAATAGTGTGGTCATGACAGGTGAGGTGAGTAGTGTGGTCATGACAGGTGAGGTGAGTAGTGTAATCATGACAGGTGAGTTGAGGTGAGGTGAGTAGTGTAGTCATGACAGGTGAGGTGAGTAGTGTAGTCATCACAGGTGAGGTGAGTAGTGTGGTCATGACAGGTGAGGTGAGTAGTGTAGTAATGACAGGTGAGTAGTGTAGTCATGACAGGTGAGGTGTGTAGTGTGGTCATCACAGGTGAGGTGAGTAGTGTGGTCATGACAGGTGAGGTGTGTAGTGTGGTCATCACAGGTGAGGTGAGTAGTGTAGTCATGACAGGTGAGGTGAGTAGTGTGGTCATCACTGGTGAGGTGAGTAGTGTGGTCATGACAGGTGAGGTGAGTAGTGTAGTCATGACAGGTGAGGCGAGTAGTGTAGTCATGACAGGTGAGGTGAGCAGTGTAGTAATGACAGGTGAGGTGAGTAGTGTAGTCATGACAGGTGAGGTGTGTAATGTGATCATCACAGGTGAGGTGAGGAGTGTGGTCATGACAGGTGAGGTGAGTAGTGTGGTCAGGACAGGTGAGGTGAGTAGTGTAGTCATGACAGGTGAGGTGAGTAGTGTGGTCATGACAGGTGAGGTGAGTAGTGTAGTCATGACAGGTGAGGTGAGTAGTGTGGTCATGACAGGTGAGGTAAGTAGTGTAGTAATGACAGGTGAGGTGTGTAAAGTGATCATCACAGGTGAGGTGAGTAGTGTGGTCATGACAGGTGAGGTGAGTAGTGTGGTCATGACAGGTGAGGTGAGTATTGTAGTCATGACAGGTGAGGTGAGTAGTGTAGTAATGACAGGTGAGGTGTGTAATGTAATCATCACAGGTGAGGTGAGTAGTGTGGTCATGACAGGTGAGGTGAGAAGTGTGGTCGTGACAGGTGAGGTGAGTAATGAGGTCATGACAGGTGAGGTGAGTAGTGTAGTCATGACAGGTGAGGTGAGTAGTGTGGCCATGACAGGTGAGTTGAGTAATGAGGTCATCACAGGTGAGGAGAGTGGTGTGGTCATCAGAGGAAGAGTCCTAAAGTACTTGCAGAGAGAGTCTACCAAGAATCACGATGCGGATTCTGAGCCAACAGGTCCACCATCGACATGGCCTTTTCCCTCAGACAACTGCAAGAGAAATTGAGGGAACAGAAGCAGCCACTCTTCCCAGCCTTCATAGATCTGATCAAGGCCTTTGATCTCGTCAGCAGGGATGGCCTTTTCAAGATCCTCCCCAAGATGGGATGTCCACCCAGGCTACTCAGCATCATCAGATCCTTCCACGAAGACATGAAGGGTACCGTGGTGTTGACGGCTTAACATTAGATGCCTTCGACATACGAACTGGAGTAAAGCAGGGCTGCGTCCTGGTTCCAACCTTATTCGGGATTTTCTTCGCAGTTATGCTGCAGCACGCCTTCGGGTCTGTCACAGAAGGCATTTACCTCCGGACCAGGTCGGATGGAAAGCTCTTTAACCTCGCCAGGCTGAGAGCCAAGACGAAGGTTCGGCTGAGGTGTCTGCACGACTTCCTTTTTGTCGACGACGCAGCAGTCACTGCCCACTCAGCCGAAGACCTCCAACGGCTCATGACCCGCTTCAGGGAGGCCAGGCTTTCGGACTCACCATCAGCCTGAAGAAAACACAGGTCATGGGACAAGGAGTGGACTCCCCACCTGACATCGGCATCTCCAATTACAAACTGAAAGTCGTTCACGACTTCATGTACCTGGGCTCCACAATCTCTGACTCCCTCTCTCTTGATATGGAGCTAAACAAACGCATCGTTAAGTCATCTACAACCATGTCCAGACTGACAAAGAGAGTGTGGACCAACAATAAGCTGACTGAGTGCACATCCAGGTTTACAGAGCCTGCGTCCTCAGCACTCTTCTATATAAAAGTGAGTCTTGGACACTCCGCGCTCGTCAGGAAAGACAGCTGAACGCCTACCACATGCGCTGCCTCCGACACATCTTGGACATCAACTGGCAGGACAAGGTGACAAACAACAACGTCCTGGGGAGTGCTCGAATCGCCAGCATGTACACAATGCTGAAGCAGATACGAATGCGCTGGCTCGGGCACGTGGTGCTGAAGCTAGCGACGGCAGGATCCTCAAGGATCTCCTGTATGGAGAGCTGACGCAAGGACAACGACCAACAGGCAAACCTCAGCAACGGTACAAAGACGTATGCAGAGGGACCTGAAAGCCATGGACGTCGATCTTGCTACGTGGGAAACACTGGTTCAGACCGTTCAGCCTGGGGGCAGTCTGTTCAAAGAGGTCTCTCCAAGTTCGAGGAGTCACTCAACAAGCAATCGGAGGCAAAGAGACAGAGAAGGATAGCCGGTAGCCAGAAGACAGACCAGAATGAGGCTTCGTTTGTGCTCAGTGTGGGGAATGGACTGCCATTATCGGATTGGCCTCATACGTCACACCAGACGCAGCACCAGGATTGACAACAATTCAATTCAATTTCTTTCTTTATTATGCACCCCATACCTATCCCGTGGGCGGTGGCCCAGAGCGCAACTCCATAGTCTCCCGAGACTGAAGGATGCCTACAGTAGGTGAGGCGAGTAGTGAGGTCATCAGAGAAGCACGGAGTGTGTGGTATAAGGGCAGTGTCCACACACCAGGTCACACGGGGTTAAGAGTGGGTAACCTGGCCAATGACAGGATTCAGAAACTAAAATGAGTTAAAAAATATTCCTTTGGATCATTAAATTGCTCACGAGACAATTAGATTTTAATCATGAAAGTTATTTGCAAATTCTCTGCTACAGCGTCCACGAATATACACAACGCCCCTGACAGCGTTCAAGTATGCACACAACGCCCCAGAAAGTGTCTAGGTATACACATAACACCCCAGACAGCGTCCATGTATACACATAACACCCCAGACAGCGTCCATGTATACACATAACACCCCAGACAGCGTCCATGTATACACACAACACCCTAGACAGCGTCCATGTATAAACACAACACCCTAGACAGCGTCCATGTATACACATAACACACCAGACAGCGTCCCTGTATACACACAACACCCTAGACAGCGTCCATGTATAAACACAACACCCTAGACAGCGTCCATGTATACACACAACGCCCTAGACAGCGTTCATTTATATACACAACGCCCCAGAGAGCGTCCATGTATAAACACAACACCCTAGACAGCGTCCATGTATACACACAACACACTAGACAGCGTCCATGTATACACACAACACCCTAGACAGCGTCCATGTATAAACACAACACCCTAGACAGCGTCCATGTATACACACAACGCCCCGGAAATCGTTCATGTATACACACAACGCCCCAGAAAGCGTCCATGTATAAACACAACACCCTAGACAGCGTCCATGTATACACACTACACCCTAGACAGCGTCCATGTATACACACTACACCCTAGACAGCGTCCATGTATACACACTACACCCTAGACAGCGTCCATGTATACACACTACACCCTAGACAGCGTCCATGTATACACACAACGGACGAGGTGTGGCGGAGGAAGAGGTGTGGTGGAGGAAGAGGTGTGGCGGAGGAAGAGGTGTGGCGGAGGAAGAGGTGTGGCGGAGGAAGAGGTGTGGCGGAGGAAGAGGTGTGACGGAGGAAGAGGTGTGGCGGAGGAAGAGGTGTGGTGGAGGAAGAGGTGTGGCGGAGGAAGAGGTGTGGCGGAGGAAGAGGTGTGGTGGAGGAAGAGGTGTGGCGGAGGAAGAGGTGTGACGGAGGAAGAGGTGTGGCGGAGGAAGAGGTGTGGCGGAGGAAGAGGTGTGGCGGAGGAAGAAGTGTGTCGGAGTGAATAGTGTTTTTAAGTGTAAGATGCGGCTGGCTGGATTTAGTAAGATACTTAAATACTTTTTACACCCATTACATTCTCAGTCGCCGTAAAGTGTTAACCTTGTGGCAGTTATACATTACTTGTTGCAGGTGTTTGGTCGTGTGTGCGTTGGTAAGCTTCGTAGTTCAACAACTAAATACTCTTCCTGGTAAATATTGTATTTACTAGGAAGACTAAATACTATGTACGTTTTGACGGCTTAATTTTGTAGACTGGAATTTAAAACGAATCTCGGAATTTTTGTGTACAAACTTTCGTAATTGAGACGGAGCCGTGTGCAGGATTGACTGTGGTAACACCAACTGCGGGTCCCCGTGTTCTTTTGGACTCTATATTTGTTTTCAGAATTAAAAAAAAAAAAAGGCTGAGGGGAACCTGTGGTTTATTTTACAGTGATTCTGTCGTCCACTCATATTTTTTCCTGAACAGAAAGAAAGAGAGAGATAGCGTACTCAGCTGGTTGTGCTTGCGGGGGTAAAGCTCTGGCTCTTTGGTCCCGCCTCTCAACTGGTGTACAGATTCTGGAGCCGACTGGGCGCTATCATATCTAATTATGAAACTGTTTATGGAGTCAGCCTCCACCACATCACTGCCTAATGCATTCCATTTACTAACTACTCTGTCACTGAAAAAGGTCTTTCTAATGTCTCTGTGGCTCGATTGGGTACTCAGCTTCCACCTGTGTAGCTTTGTGCGTGTATCACACGTGTTAAATGATCCATCCTTGTCTAACCTGTCAATTCCTCTGAGAATTTTGTATGTGGTGATCATGTCACCTCGAGCTATTTTGTCTTCCAACGATGTCAGGTGCAGTTCATGCAGGGTTTCCTCGTAACTCATGCCTCTTAGTTCTGGGACTAGCCTAGTGGCGTACCTCTGAACTTTTTCCAGCTTCGTTTTCTGCTTGACAAGGTACGGGCTCCATGTTGGGGCCGCATACTCCAGGATTGGTCTTACATATGTGGTATACAAGGTTCTGAAGGATTCCTTACACAGATTCTTGAAGGCAGTCTTGATGTTAGCCAGCCTTGCATCTGCTGCCAATGTTATTCCTTTGATGTGCGTTTCAGGAGACAGGTTTGGCTTGATATTAATTTCTAGAACTTTCTCTCTGTCCGTTTCATGAAGATCTTCATCTCCCATTCTGTATCCTGTGTCTGGACTTCTATTTCCCCCACCTTGTTTCATAACCTTACATTTACTTGGCTTGAACTTTAGTAGCCATTTGTTGGACCATTCCTTCAGTTTGTCTAAGTCATTTTGTAGCCTCATACTATCTTTCTCTGTCTTAATCTTTCTCACAATGTTTGCATCATCAGCAAACATTGAGAGGAACGATTCTCCCAAGAACTCTGCGATGTCATTCACTTACATCAAAAACAATATAGTCCAAGGACAAATCCCAGTGGGACTCTACTGGTGACGTTTCGCCAGTCTGAGACCTCACCTCTCACAAGTGAGGGGTTTTCCCAGTGACTCGCTCTCTTCTGTTGCTTAGGTACTCCCTTATCTAATGAAGTACCTTCCCTTTCAGCCCTGCCTGCATCTTCAGCTTGTGCACTAGTCTCTATTTGGTACGTAATGTGTCAGAGGCTTTGTGGCAATGCAAAAAAATGCAGGATGCCCAACCCTCTCTTTCCTTGCCTGGTTCTTGTTGCCTGATCATAGAATTCTATTAAACCTGTGAGGCCTCACAGGTCATGCTTGTGACCCATGCTGATGTGTTACAAAGTTCTTTCTCTCCAGATGTTCCAATAGATTTTTTTCGCATAATCTTCTCTATCACCTTGTAGGGTATGCAAGTTAGGGACACTGGCCTGTAGTTCAGTGCCTCCTGTCTATCACTCTTCTTGTATATCGGGACTACATTAGCTGTCTTCCAAATTTTTAGCAGTTCACCTGTTACCAGAGATTTGGTATACACTATGGAGAGTGGCAGGCACAGTGCTTCTGCTCCTTCCTTTAGTACCCATGGTGAGAGTCCATCCAGGCCTATACCCTTTGTTACATCTGAACAGCAGTAAAAGTTTACCAAAAGGAAGTTGTCAACATCATGTCGGAATTACCCGATAAATTTTGACATGAGAGCCATGTGGGCTTTCGGACTTGACAGACAAAACAGGCTCTCGGATCAGGCAATTACCGAGGAAAACTGACCAGTGGCCAAGAAGTAGGAGTAGAAAGTGTTAAGCAACAGATCAGAAAATAGTGAGAAGTATCTAAGATGCTCACGACTGCTCATTACTCTTGGAAAATTTAAAGACAAATTGAATGTTTTTTGAACCACTCAGTTCACAGAGAAAAAAAATTATTAGAAGACACTCTGAAAAATATGTAGTTCTAGGAAAAAACTAAGAATTAGAAGTAGAAGTAGTGGAGGCTTCCTTCATACATGGAGAGGGAGTAGTGGAGGCTTCCTTCATATATGGAGAGGGAGTAGTGGAGGCTTCCTTCATATATGGAGAGGGAGTAGTGGAGGCTTCCTTCATGCATGGAGAGGGAGTAGTGGAGGCTTCCTTCATACATGGAGAGGGAGTAGTGGAGGCTTCCATCATGCATGGAGAGGGTGTAGTGGAGGCTTCCATCATGCATGGAGAGAGAGTAGTGGAGGCTTCCTTCATACATGGAGAGGGAGTAGTGGAGGCTTACATGGAGGGTAGACACTAGACGCAACACCACACATGGAGGGTAGACACTAGACGCAACACCACACATGGAGGGTAGACACTAGACGCAACACCACACATGGAGGGTAGACACTAGACGCAACACCACACATGGAGGGTAGACACTAGACGTAACACCACACATGGAGGGTAGACACTAGACGCAACACCACACATGGAGGGTAGACACTACACGCAACACCACACATGGAGGGTAGACACTACACGCAACACCACACATGGAGGGTAGACACTAGACGCAACACCACACATGGAGGGTAGACACTAGACGCAACACCACACATGGAGGGTAGACACTAGACGCAACACCACACATGGAGGGTAGACACTAGACGCAACACCACACATGGAGGGTAGACACTAGACGCAACACCACACATGGTGGGTAGACAGTTGACGCAAAACCACACATGGAGGGTAGACACTAGACGCAACACCACACATGGAAGGTAGACAGTTGATGTAACACCACACATGGAGGGTAGACAGTTGATGTAACATCACACATGGAGGGTAGACAGTTGATGTAACACCACACATGGAGGGTAGACAGTTGATGTAACACCACACATGGAGGGTAGACAGTTGATGTAACACCACACATGGAGGGTAGACAGTTGATGTAACACCACACATGGAGGGTAGACACTAGACGCAACACCACACATGGAGGGTAGACACTAGACGCAACACCACATATGGAGGGTAGACACTAGACGCAACACCACACATGGAGGGTAGACACTAGACGTAACACCACACATGGAGGGTAGACACTAGACGCAACACCACACATGGAGGGTAGACACTAGACGCAACACCACACATGGAGGGTAGACACTAGACGTAACACCACACATGGAGGGTAGACACTAGACGCAACACCACACATGGAGGGTAGACACTAGACGCAACACCACACATGGAGGGTAGACACTAGACGCAACACCACACATGGAGGGTAGACACTAGACGTAACACCATGCATGGTATGGAGGCAGTACAACATACCTCAGCTACGTGTTCTTCACCAATATAACAATGGCATTTTACTTATTACATGTATTAATTTTGAGGAATGTGGTGGAGATGCAATTATTTGACTATACCTCATATCTGGTTAATGTTGTCTGGAAGTTGTCATATGAATCGAAGGTTTATTCAACCTGAATAAATTCTCTGTGGTAGAGTAATTCATTGCTGTTTGATAACGTTCGGGGGCCAGATTCACGAAAGCACTTACGCAAGCACTTACGAACGTGTACATCTTTCTTCAATCTTTGACGGCTTTGGTTACATTTATTAAACAGTTTACAAGCATGAAAACTTCCCACTCAACTGTTGTTATTGTTATAAACAGCCTCCTGGTGCTTCGGAGCTCATTAACTGTTTAATAATTGGAAACAAAGCCGCCAAAGATTGAGAAAAGATGTACAGGTTTGTAAGTGTTTGCGTAAGTGCTTTCGTGAATCTGTCCCCTGATCCGCGGGGACCAAACATTGAAGGTTGTGAGTCAAGTAACATTATACGTTACATGTTATGTTTATTCAGTAGTTACGCAAGTCTGCTGTTGTATTTGGCGATACCGTAGGCTCCGGAGAAGCTTACTTGATAGTAACAAGATCTAGAGAAGCTTTCACGAGAGTCAAAAGCACCAGAGAAGCATACATGTTTGTGAGAAGCTCCCGGGAAGCTCACACGTTAGTGAGGAGAAAGATGTGGCCTCATTTGCCCTAATTTAGGTTTATATAGAGCAGAGTGAAGATAAAAGGAACCAGGTCACCCTGCTTCGTACTGAAGCAATTCCCGACCTCCGCGTGTTACCTGTAAGTACAGCCTCAAGATACCGAGTCTTAATTCACTTTTCTGTTAGTATACATGTAACACATTGTGACGGTAACGCGTTGGTGTTCGGCTGTTTAAGGCTAGGGGTATGGCCTCGTCACATAGTTATAAAAAAAAATAGAAAAACTGGAACTTCGTCTGTGGTAAGGTAAGGAGAAGACACACAAAACACAAGTAAAACTTTAACAATGAAATTTTAATTACGTTAAATAAATCAAAACATGAAAATAATGCACAAACAAATTCTTATAATAAAATCAATGAATCAAAATAATAAGAATAATTAGATGACACAATGAAAAGTTACGTTAAGGCAAAACAACAAGAAGTGCAATACAAAAGTTAAGTGGGAGGTGCTGGAATATTGGCTTAAAGCCACCACCTCTCTCAGTACACGCTAACGTCTAGCTGGGAGGAGTGCTGGCTACGAAAG